ACCTTTTCTTTAACAGGTCCATCACTAGAGGGTCTTATGATGGCACCCTTGAAGAAGTGTTGTTTTATGTGTAACGTTTTAATAACTGAGTTTTGAAATAAAATGATTGTAAGCAAGTAGAGACTTTCAAATCATCTGATTAAGGATGGCTCCTATGATTCTGCTAGGGCTAGAAGGATTAAATGAAAGCACTGCCTGGCGCTATGTTGATTTATTTTCGTCAATATGATGCTTCATGCTCGACAGATGTGCATTGGTTGAAAGGTAAAACAATCAAAATATGTTAAATGTTGATTTTATGTAAAAAAGATTGAGTTATGTTTTTGAAAATATAAATGTTTGATTTGTTAAAAGATTTTTTGGGGAATTGTAGGAAAGGGATCTTATTTTGTAGGATTTTGCATACTTCTCTTAAATCCTTGATTCAATGTTTTAACAGTTTTGAATTTTAGAATTTGATAGCTGTTTGTGTTCAAAGTATATGGTTAGCATGGTGTAATCGTAATAATGAAGCATTATTTTAGTTTGCTTAACAATATCTATGTTTTAAAAGCTTTTAAATAGGTAGAGGAATTTTTTTTAAAGACTTTTGATTCTTTGAGTGTCATTTATATCCTTTTATTAATTAAATGATAATATATTAATATCATTATTATCAATATTAAATGATAAATTATCATTTATCATTAAATGATAATTTTTAAATGATCTTTACTAATAAGGAATATGTATAAGAGATTTTCACACATGTAGTGTTCAACTGTAATAAGATAAAATTTGAATTTGTAGGAATTAGGACTGTTTAAATTTTTCACTCTATTTCAATGTCATTGTCATTTAAGAATTATATGTATTTTCAGTTAACTAAAAATCTGTGGATATTAAAACTTAAGTTTTCATGTAATTTATCACTGGCTTTATAAATACTGTCAAGTGTTTACCAGAATATCTTTTCAGAGAGTTGGTGATTATTTTATATATAGATAGTTGGTATTGTAGGTGTTACTGTACAATAAACCACAGAAGATAGTGAAAGTTATAAATATTAAAATGGAAATTATGGTATAAACAGGAAGAATTAATATAGAACATTTAAACTAAGATTGCCTTTGGGAAATTAGGAAAATGACTTTAATTGGGAAAGAAGCTTCTTATTTGGAGTTTTTCTATCAGTCAGTATGAATTTTAGGTATGGAATTTAAAAAAGTCTAATTAGTGGGATTTCATACTCTATTATGCCTAGTCAGAATAGTATTTACAATGGGGCATCAGGTGTGCTATACAGCTAGAATATTTAGAAATAGACTGAATAGTTATAACAAAAAATTATAAGCAATGACAGAATGGTTTTAGGATATTCAAAACATGATTTTTTTTATAAACTGGTTTCAGTTAAGCAAAAGAGAAAATAATTGTAACAACCTAGGTTTCAATAAATAGATGATAAGTAGATATTAGGTAAATATGAAGTGAATATAGACATATAGTGATATTGCCATATCAGAAGTAGGAACTAATAGAGTGTACCAGATTGAAAGTTAGGCATTATATAATATCACGACTACATTTTATTCTAAAGAATGGCATATTTTTGGATTCTGTCTTTTAATTACTCACAGTCTTTAAAGGATTAAATAAAGTATGAAAGCATTATATTAACTGTTCTATACCTTTCTATTATAACTTATGGATTAAATATCATTAAATGCTTTATGATTCTTCACAGAAATGTACATATTATCATTATATTCTTTTACCTATTAAATGTTTTCCATTGGCAAGAATAAATGCTAAGGCTTTCTTATAAAAGCCAATAAAAAGATGTAGGTTAGAGTCACAGTACTTGAATTTTTATGGATTTTCTTCAGTTCCTCAAAAGGATGTGGTGTGTAAGAAATTTAGATTTAAAAATCAAAGGAGAGTATGAATGAAATAATTCATTATGTAATTAGTAAAAATTGTTTGGATAAAATATTTTAGGTATTTGGATTATAGTAGATTCTTTACTGTTTAGTAAGACTATTAAAATGAAATTTTGTCTTGCTTCTAGCATATCTTTACTATACTAGAAGGTATTCATTGTACCTTTAAGTTTTTTAAAAATCCAAGTCCATGTTAAGTCACAGTATCCATTAGAGATGATAACCACAGTTCTATTTTTACTTAAATCCGGTACAAAACAGCATCTCCAGTATAATTCACATGCTTCAGGTACAGTTTATAATCTCTAGAACAAAATGATTGCTAGATTTAATATTGAATTCAGTTCTCTTCAGGTAGGATTTTTCAAAAACATATATACAGTAGATGACTTGCTAGGAACTATTTACTAATAGCCTTTCTTAAGGAATCAAACTCTATAATAAGAAGTAAATATTTTAATTTAGCCTGAAAATACAATCCTCTGTTATTAAGATTCATTAGACTCTATTTATTCTTCACCTTAAAAAATTCATGTTAATTCCTTAAAGTGGTAATGAAGTGTTCATCTCTCACTTTCTACTTCTGTCATGTCCAATGTGATGTTAAATATACCACTGGAAATCCTTAATGCTTTAATCTTTCATTTAGGCATATTAACTGGATGAAGTCGTGGTATCAATATTATGAGGTCATAGCCCCTAAGAAATAGAAAAGAGTTTTAGCATCAGTTAGCTTCTTAAGGTTGAGGATCATGTCTTACTCATTTCTACATTCCTAGTCTACATTATAGTGTGTGGTATTTAGTTCTTACCCAATACATGTTTGATAAAATAATGTATGAGTTATTATGTATAATCTTACCTCTCAGCAGAGACTTCCAAAGATTAGATGGATATGTAGGCCACATAAATGGTTGATAACAAAAGTAGAACTAAGAAACACGGGTACTTTAGCTTTAGTGTTCTTTTCATGATACACCACTATATTTCTCCTTTAGTCATATGTATGAAAACGATGACAAAAATAAAATGAATGATGTGTAACATGTGCACCGAGTTTGTTATGTAAGTTAGTTTCTAATATTTAAGTGCCCTGTTTTGATTGTAAATTTTAAACTCTAGGAATCTATGATTTTTATGTAACAGTTGTAATCTGAAAGATTTGTAATTAAGTCCAAAATCTTTTACAACATATAAATGTAAATGCTAAAACAAAAACAATAAAAACTAAACAACCGTTCCCTACTTTCCCAATTACAAAATATTTAAAGGTCACATTATTATTATTATTATTTTCACTTAGGATAGTAGTTTTCTTTGTTCCCTGTGTTCCATTCCCTGTGTTCCAGATAAGAGGAAAAAGGGTGACACAGGAGACTTTAGAGGAGAGAGATAATTTTGCTGAGTGGGGTCATTCCGTTCTATTTCTGTCAGTACTACTGCTTTTTGGGAAAACAAAAAAATGAAAAAAATAAATTGCCCAAGAAATTCATAACTAAGCTGTTGAATTTTGGTCATCTCTCACTTCAACTGAATCCTACTTTTTCATTATCTCCTGCTCATTTCATAGAAGCTATTTTAAACTTTTTTTTTGGTTACCTTCGGGATTATAACCCTACTGCTTCTCATGGCAAGTAATTGATGCTATCTGAGTTTACACCAGAGAAGAGGACAAATGTGGATATTTTATTGACAGAGATTTATGAGTGCTTGCATGATCCATAGGTTATATCACTGTTAGCAAGGCTGTTGAGAACTTCATAAGTAGTCTTTGCTCCACGCCCGTATTGGAGCATGAGGGCGAAAACAGTACACCATGCTGTCCTCAGTCTTAATGAAGATGAAATAAAACAGCAGTTCTTTCTGATCTGTAAGGCTTTTGCGATGAATAATCATTATTGTTGGTATTTATTTAAATTGCTTATCTCAAGTTAGATGAGTAAGAAGGATTGGAGACCTAATAGTAAGACCAAGATTTAGATGAACCAATAATAGGAGTGATCTAGGTAGATGATGAATAAAAAATGGTTTTTAAGAACCAGCATTTAGTTGTAGTTGGAAAGTATTAAGTAACTGAATCAAGTCAGTTTAGCTTCATTGCATTTTAAAGTAACTTTCATATCGGGACCAGCAGTTAGCGTAATAGCTATGTCACTGGACTCCGAAGTAGTCAACCGCGGTTCGCGTCCCGGACCCAGGGGCTTGAAACACGCCGGGCGCGTGTGCGTGCGTGCCCAAGATCCCAAGAGGAGAATGGAGGAGAAGGGATTGCGGTGTGGCTATCCCCCCTGGGGGGTGATTTCTCGCTTTCTGTCTCTCTGTCTCTCTGTCTGGCAAGCGCACGCCAAAAAAAAAAAAAAAAAAAAAAAAAAAAAAGTAACCTTCATATCAAGGTGACTTGGAATGGAGAGAATAGAAAGAGGTATTTTTGAAGGTACTGAATGACAACTGAAGCATAGGTGAAATGCAGCAAGCCAAGAAAGGAAATGATAATAAAGACTATTTTATGGTAGCAGAATATGATGTTGATTATCTGATTTTTGGATTATAAGTATATTCCACATACAGTGGTCAGGTTTTTAGTAATCATAACAAAAGTACGCTGTAAATTGCTTATCTGGTGACCAGCAGATGGAGTAATGGTTACGCCTCTGGACTCTCACATGGGTGATTGCTATTTGCGCCCCGGACTTGATGGCTTCAAACTCACACCAGGCTTGTGTGTGTGTGTGTGTGTGTGTGTGTGTGTGTGTGTGTGTCCAAAATCCCAAGAGTAGACTGGAGAAGAGGGAATTGCATTGTGGCCATCTCCCCTGGGGAGTGCTTTCTCCTTTTCTGTCTCTGTCTCTCCGGCAAGCACACGTCCCCTATAGCAAAAAATCTCTCTTTTAAAAAAAATTGCTTATCTGAATTGAATAAAATGAATATTACTAAAGCTTCGTTATGATAGTCCTTTAAAATGAAATTTAAAAAAGGGGAAAAGAACTCTTTGAATTGATCCTCAACCTGCTAGCAGGTAAAATAAGAAATTTCTTAAATGTTGCTCTTCTCATTGTTCTTTTTGTTTTGGTTACTTAGGAAAAGAAGTCCATCACTGTCCAGGGATCAGAATAGAAGATACGACCAAAGGGAAGAAAGAGAGGAATATTCACAGTATGCCACTTCTGATAGCGCAATGCCTAGATCTCCATCTGATTATGGTGACAGGCGATCTCAACATGAACCTCAGTTTTATGAAGAATCTGATCATTTAAATTATAGGGACTCCAACAGGAGAAGCCATAGGCATTCCAAAGAATATATTGATGATGAGGATGTGGAGAGCAGAGATGAATACGAAAGACAAAGAAGAGAGGAGGAGTACCAGGCACGCTACCGGAGTGACCCCAATTTGGCCCGTTATCCAGTAAAGCCACAACCCTATGAAGAACAGATGCGCATCCACGCTGAAGTGTCCCGAGCCCGGCATGAGAGGAGGCACAGTGATGTTTCTTTGGCAAATGCTGAACTTGAAGATTCCAGGATTTCTATGCTAAGGATGGACCGACCATCAAGGCAAAGATCTGTATCTGAACGTCGAGCTGCCATGGAAAATCAGCGATCTTATTCAATGGAAAGAACTCGAGAAGCTCAGGGACCAAGTTCTTATCCACAAAGGACCACAAACCATAGCCCTCCTACCCCTCGGAGGAGTCCAATACCCATTGACAGACCAGACTTGAGGCGTACAGACTCACTGAGGAAACAGCACCACTTAGATCCTAGCTCTGCTGTAAGGAAAACAAAACGGGAAAAAATGGAAACAATGTTAAGGAATGATTCGCTCAGTTCAGACCAGTCCGAGTCAGTGAGACCTCCACCACCAAAGCCTCATAAATCAAAGAAAGGCGGTAAAATGCGCCAGGTTTCATTGAGCAGTTCAGAGGAGGAGCTGGCTTCCACACCTGAGTATACAAGTTGTGATGATGTTGAGATCGAAAGTGAGAGTGTAAGTGAAAAAGGTAAGCTTTTTAATCACGATTTCACTGTAGCTGATTAGCTGAAATCTTTCTTTTTAATTGTATTCCTAAGTAAAAATTTCATAGTTACATTTTAGTACCCTTATTTAAAAAATCTTTTAATGTCAGTCATGCAAAGATAATGTCAAATTATAAAATGTATTTTCTGTTGTTTTATCTATGAAAAAAGCCTATTGATTTTTTTCTTTTAATTGCTTTCTTCCTTGGTTTCTGAGATTTTTCTAGCATCACTTGATGGCCAATTTTATAGATATCTATTACTCATAGTTTTAAAAATAACATTTATTTTTTGTGTCTCCTGTAAAAGTAATAATATGTTTATTATAGGGCATGTGAGAATTCCTCAGTGTAAAGAAAATACAAGTTATCCTTTTCCCTTCAGATATGACCATTTTGCACTTTTTATTGTATTTTCTTCCTATTTTGTTATCCATGTATAGATTATAGATTTATGAAATTAGTATCATTCTATATATACTTTTATATCTTGATATTTTCAATTGATGGCTCATCATAAACTTTTTTTCAAGTCATTAGATGTTCTTTAGAAATATGTTTTAATCAGCTGCCCTAATATTCATTCGTAGAAATGTACCACAAACCAAATATTTCTTTATTTGTAGCACTGTGGTTGCTACCAATTACTAATATAAAATACTATGAAAATGATTATCTACATATATATATATGTATATATATATATATATATATGTAATTTTTACTCCCATCTCCAAGTATTAAAAAAAATTTTTTTTGAGCTTTAATTCAGATTGCCAAGTTGTTTTCCAGAAAGGTAGTAACATTCTCTACTTCTGTCAGATGTGCTTGAGCTTTCTTTCTCAATGCATCAAATTTGCCAATTGTATAGATCACAAAAATTATCTCTTTGTCATTTTAGTTTGAGTTTGGTTGTGAGGTAGAATGTTTTACGTGTTTATTGGCATTTGATATTTTCTTCTATGAATTTTCTGTTTATTCCTTTTATCCCATCTGCCCATTTTCCTATTAGATATTTACGAGTTTCTCTCTCTTTTTAAATAAGGGCTTTTTAATATAGTTAGGATTTTAGCCTATTTAGTCATTATTTGTTCCAAACATTTTTTCATTTTGATGTTTATCTACTGAATTTAATATAGCTAAACTTGTGTATCTTTGGTTATTGTTTCCATTATTTCATCCTTAGAAATTCTTTATTCATCCCTAAAATTAAATACTTAAATATGTATGTCCTCATTTTTATTTTTTAACCATTAAGTGTTCAGTGTTCTGGAAATTTTTTTGCTATATCACAAAGTAGACCAGATTGGTGACTGTCTGACACAAATCTCTTATACCAATACCCTGCCTCTTCTCTCACACATACACAATTTTCTTATATCATTTAGCGACAAATCCATTATTTGTTTAAAAGAATTAACAGTAACCAATAAGGGAATGCAGCACAACAGCTAGATATGAAGTTAATACTGAATCATTTTATGCTATACCAAAAATAATTAGTTAAGAAATATGAATCAAAAGTAATTTGCATTCTGAACTAAACACAGATAATGTGACTTAAAAATAACTAACAAAGAACAAGGAGGCCTACAGGAAAGGTTACAGAATTTTCCTGTCACATAAAAGAAGTGAGTAAAAGTGCATTTCATGGTTCTAAATGCGAAAGCTAAATACTTTGAGGATGGATGTTCTTGAAATTCACGATACAGTGTGTGCATGAACACACTCATGTTCAAGGAGGAGGGCACCTTTCACAGTGCTCAGTTATGTAGCTATCCCCTTTCTTCAGCCCTCTAGCTCACTGGGATCCTGGGCATGTCCACAGGCTCCCAGCATGTTTTCAGGCTGACTGGGCCAGGAACTTGACCCTCAGCCGGTAGCTTCCAGTCTGCCATTCGGTATGTTGCTAGCTGTGCTACAGAGTCTGGGTCCCAACCAGTGTCTTTTATTTATTTATTTACTATCATTATTTTTATAATAAAATCAGATATATTAGCATATACATTATTTTCAATAGAGAATTTTATATTCACCTAAGTAATCTCTTGAGGTCATAGTCTAGCCATTCCATTTGGGTTTCTGGAGTTTTTTTTTTTTTTTTTTTTTAAGAAATATTTTATCTTATTTTATTTATTTTTAAATTTTATTTGACCAAAGAGGGACAGAATGAGAGAGATGGATAGTGTGAAAGCAAGCCCCAGGTACAGGACTTGAACCGTTGTCAGCTATGTGGGAGTCCATTTGTGACCTTGGTTTGAGTCACAGATCTGGCAGCTTGAAATTCATGCTGGGGACATGTGTGTGCATGCCAAAAATCCCGGGAGGAGAATGGAGGAGAAGGATTATGACATGGCCATCCTCCCAGAAGGGTGGTTTCTCACTTTCATTCTAGCTGTCTCTGTCTCTCTCTCTCCAGTGATTGCACACACCCTAAGGCAAAAACCTCTCTCTCACACACACATAAAAGTTGAGTTGGGAGGAAAAACTTTAGTAAGAAGAGGTAAGAGTACAGAGGTAGAACTCTCCTAATCAGATATTAATAAAATGACAAAATTGAAAGTGTGGTACTGAAAGAATTTGATTGGTCATGGAATTCTGACGTAGTATTGTGAAACTAGAAAATGATAAAAATATAAAAAGCACACACACACCACAAATTGAGGGGGAGGATATAAATTATTTCAACAACTCAGTTTAGGAAAAATAATATATACAGTTGGAAAAAATGAAGTTCGAGACTTATTTCATAGTTGTTGCATTCAATGGTAAATTCTAAGAAAAATGCTAATTAAGATATAAGTATCTATAAAACTGTAGCTTTTATTTATTTATTTATTTTTTGAGAGGTTTTTGCTATAGAGTGCGTGCACTCGCCAGAAAGACAGAAAGAGACAGAGAGACAGAAAGTGAGAAATCACCCTCCTGGGGGGATAGCCATGTGGCAATCCCTTCTCCTCCATTCTCCTCTTGGGATCTTAGGCACACACACACATGCGTCCGGTGTGAGTTTAAGCCACCGGGTCCAGGACTCGAACTGTGGTTGACTACATGGGAGTACAGCAACATAGTTATTCTGCTAACTGCTGGTCCCAGCTTTTAGGTTTTTTTTAAAAAAATTATTTATTTATTTTAATTTATTATTACTATTTTTTAATTTGACCAGAGAGAGACAGAGAGAGAAAGAAAGGGAAAGTGAGAAAGCAAGCTACTAGGTCCAGGACTCAAACTGTACTTGGCCATGTGAGAGTCCAATACCTGAGCCACCGTACCATCTGCCAGACTTGCTCTTAATTAGTTTTATTAGAATGTATAGAAATTTTATTTTACTAAGATATAATACTTCCTTAAGTATATTTAATAATCTTTAGCTTAGCTATCTCCCATACTTGCCAGAGTGTGTCATGATAGAAGAAATTAACAGAAGGATAATTTTGTTATCTTTTGGTAGTTTCATTTGGATTCTATTGGTAGGTACTCCTATTATCCTTTGCTAAAGTAATAACTTCACTTTTACTACATAAAAATGTAAAACACAGAACACGTCAATACAATGCTAGAGAGAAAGCAACTTGGAGAGGAGAGAGAAACCACCTATGACAGGGGCTCTTCATGCCTCAATCCTCTTTCCCCATTTCCTTGGAATTCTGCTTTTCAAGCTGACTTCGGGATCTGAACCCATTGTCCACTATTGGCTTCCAGTCTTGCAGGGCATTTGCATTACTGCTGTGCCACAGCAGCTGGGCCCATATTTTTATTGTTTGTTAATTGCAGAGCTCTAATGATAATTTGTATACATATAAAATACTTCTCAAACAATAGGTATCCAAATCATTTTAGGTTATGATGTGATAGTCAAGACTTCTACAGTACAACTCTCAAGAGTTTTGAATAAAAGTGAAATTATGGATTATGATTATTTATGTTGATTTCTCTTCCAGAATCTTCCCATTGCTGATCTAGACTCTTATTTCCTGGCTAGGAAGAATATATTTTTTAATTTGTTCAAAGAGAATTTTGAGATGCAATCAAGGTCTCACTAAATACTGCACACCCATTTACTTATTTTTCCTACCAAGTACTTTTTCAGTATTTGTTATTTGAAACATGTTGGATTTGATACAGTGGAGAATGTACACATTATTTTCTATCCTCAAGAAACTGACATTCTAAAATGACTAGTAATGTAAGGCAATTGTATGACAGGCGCTAAAGGATTTCAGAGGAGAAAGGCATTGGTCATATCTTCAGATTTTGTGTGCTCTGGATATCTTGTAAAACTTACCTTTTAAACTTATCTTTTTACTCAGTGCAATATGGTTTGCTTTTCATAATGCTGAATTAATTGCTTCCACATAGTTTGTGTTTGAAAATTCAAGTTGATTTTTTTTTTCTTTTTCTTTCTTTTGGTTTATAGAAGGAGAGAAAAGTCTTAGATTGCTGATAACATAGTATCTCTGAATTTAAATATTGGACATACTTCTCAAAAGTTTATAATGTATTCTACCAAAGCTTTAAAAACTACTATTGGCTTTGAAAATTTTATCTGTGATTTTCTTATTGAATATTCTAGAGCACGTTTTTCAGTCTCAGTACCATTGGCATGTTGGGCTAGGTTTGTTTGCTCTGTGGAACTATTTTGTGCATTGTAAGGTGTTGAGCAGCATCCATGGCTTCTACTCTCTAGGTGCCAGTAACACCCCAAAGACCAGTCTTGACAACCCCAATTATCTCCAGACGCTGCCGTTTATCTTCGTGAGATACTAAAGTCCCCTATCTCCAAGCCCAGCCCCCATTTCTCTTTTCCCCTTTTGTTCTTCCTTCCTCACTTTCAGAACCAATGGAGAAGTTTATAATCAGGATTAGAGAGAGTGAGAGAGGGAACTAGAATACAGTAAAACATGTCAGAGAGAGATACACAGAGTAAGGATAACTGTTGTGTTTTTTGAAACTTTTTTTTTTCTGGTTGTGCGTATATAGAGTTT